GCCACCCAGTCGGAGTCCAACCCCTCCCGGATCCGAGCGACTTTATCATTCAGATATTGTGCAAAATCCTCAGCCCTCCCCACCAGGGGATCCTCTCCCCCCCTCAGTTGAAGGAGGGAGCGGGTCACCCTGAAGAGGGTGGCCGGGCGGTTATCTGATGACGCAATGAGGGTGGAGTAGTAATTAGACCTCGCCACCCCCATTGCCACAAGGTAGGATCTAACATGTATCCTTACCTGTGTTCGGTCAGGTTCGGTTCGGGTAGTCCTCCAACTGCTCTCTAAGCGTCTTTTCCGGCGTTTCATCTCTCTCAGCTCCTCAGTAAACCAAGGGGCTAATTGAGATCTACGTCGGGTCAGAGGTCGCAACGGCACGACTCGGTCCAGTGCTGCGGCTGCGGCCACATCCCAGGCCGCAGCCTGATCTTCCGCAGATAGCAGATAACCAGCACTGATTCATTATGTAGAGGGGGAAAAAAACCAAAGTGAAATTTTCTGGTTCATAAAACTCTTAAAAGTAATGATAAGCAAACTGGTAGAAATTTAGACCGCTGCTTCCAAAATTCCTGACTGTTGGTTATACTGATGGGAATAACGGTTCAAAGTCTGTGGAGATCATGCCCATACCTGTCTTAAATGTAAATTCACTAGCATTATCCAGTTAATCAATATTTTTATGTGACCTCTGAAAAAAGATGAACTGATCCCAGCTTGCCATGTTTCATTATTTTTCTAAGTGGAAAAGTTGTTTCTTGAATACTGAGAAAACCATTGTTTATCAGCTCTGCAAAGACTCATATTTTCCTTTTTTTTATCTCCCAGAATTCCAATCCAGAACTGGTAACAGCCCATATGGATTGTGAATATAATTTTATGTGGTATACAGCTGCTGCATGTCCTCTGAAAAGCAATATGCACAATAATTGCACTGTGTCTAACCCTCGAACAGGTAATATTTTTCTCTAAATGCGGGTTGACTAGATGTAACAAGTAAGTAGAAAAAAGGACTAGAGTTGACATCTAATGCCATAGAAATGTCTCAGGGTATTGAGCAAGCAGTTCATGCTAGAAAATCCTCAATATTTTTTCAGATGTTAGTGAACTGAAGCAGTTTGCCCTGAATGAATAGGGCACAATTCCCACATAGTGATACAAGATCCTGATCACTATATGAATCTGACAAGGTGATTTGTTTTCTCTCTGGCATATTGCATATTGGTTGCATTAATAAATTTGGGAGATATTCATTGAGACCCAAGGGAAGCTCTGACAACATTCATTGACAAAGATAGACAAAAGATTAAGAAATCCAAAAGAAAGCAAGTGCTTTTTCACAGAACTAATAATCACCCCATATGCACTTATGTTTATGGTCCATGTTAAAATTCTGTGGGTATTTCTTTATATACTATATTTATTATTTTTATAAATAATATGTCAAAAGTCCTGAATGAATGACTTTTATACTGATTTTGAACTTTTGAGGTCCTTCTCATGGAGTCAGCTTATTGAGCATCTTGATTGTTTTAATAAAAATAATATTTTCCATAGTAATATTCCTTTTTTCCCCCTTCTCTGTTTTCTTCCAGGTCATCTCTTTGACCTTAATCCTTTAAAGAGACAGGCTGGCTACACTCTCTTAGATTTTGTGAACCAGAGAATGCTCCAGTTGAGTGTGTGTGATGAACCGAAAAGTTCATGCGGTGGAGACACTGGTAAATTTTGACTTGCTGAGATGCTGATAGTGAACCCAGGTTCATAGGATGGAAAGAGATTGTTGTGATACTTTATTTTATGAAACCTATGTTACTGTTGATATGTGATGTACCAGTAGTAATGTAGTAAAGTACATTTCAATAAAAAATGTAGGACAGTATCTGGATAACGATGTGTGCTCCTCTCCCCGGGATAAGCTTTTCCCAGTGTATCCAATTTATCAGCCACTTTCTACATTCTGTACAGGTAGGTAGTGCATTAATGAATCCCACAAAATGGTCACATTATTTGAATTCACACTATTCAAAGTGATTTTTCTATGGGAAGTAGGGCAATTGGTTCCAGCTCAATGGAAATAGGTAGTTTTAAAAATCAATGTAATTTTTATATGTTTATTACTGAAATAATGTGTAACAGTAAAAAAGGATAAACCTACACCCAAAATGTATC